CCCCATGCTGGGTGGTAGCTTTGGGGGCAACCAAGGCAGTGCGAATGCTTTAAGGCAAAGTTACCCTGGGATGAGCTGCAGAGGAAAGCAATCATCAGTGGATCATTCATCTCCCCAGACCTTCAGGAAAGATTCTGGACTAGTTTGGCAACTTTTGGGCCCAGGGTCCAGCTAATGGCGTCCTACCCACCACACCCATTCATAACCCTTGACAAAGCTCCTTCCAAAGGGTGTCCCAGGGCAAGGGTGAGCCAAAGCAGCTCCTTCTTGGCCTTGGCCCAACGTTTCTGTGCATGGGGCCTCGTTTGCCCCTTGCAGCCACTCTCGATGGCTGAATTTGCTCTCTGAGGGATGCTATTGCTATTTGGGAGTTGTCTTCCTTGCTCTGCTGCAGTGAGGTCTTCCAGGGCTGGAGGACCACAAGGTCAGCTCGAGGCGGGCTTGGACACTCCGTGAGAGCAATTTTGGGGAAAAACAGCTCATCTGAAGGCAGGGGCTGGAAAGGTCAGATGGCCGCTTCATGGGGCGAACGCGGTGCCTGCATCTGCCCGAGGGAGCAAGAGGAGCGAAGGGGAAAACGTGGGTTGTGAAACGCAGCCTCTTCTCCTCTTAGCACCATCCCTCTGGTCAACGATTACTTGCAATTACAAGTCAGAATTACGTCTTCGTTCCTAATTAGTTGCCTCGCTCATCCTGATTCCTCTGTACCTCGGAGGATCTGGGTGGAGGAAGGAGCCAGCGCAGAAACACAAGGGGTGTGCCTCCCCGATTTCCAAATTCCCCAAGTATTAGCTATTTTCTGCCCCTGTTAGCAGTCACACTAACAACATATGCATGGAGGGGAGGGGAAAAAGCTGATGGAATTATTTCATTTTTTTAAGGCCCAGAATTGATGTTTACCCACTGGAGCTAAATTATTTATACACCTAATGTTATAGTTTCACATCAGTGGCTTTTATTAGCGTTCGGTGGATGAGAAATCATACCCGACCTACTCGTACAAACCCCTTTCGCGCCTCTCCGTGATGACAGCGTGGCGGGGAAGGGGTGAAGGCGCTCGCCCCAGCCCAGCTGTGGGGATGCTTGAGCAGCGGGAGAGCCAGTGGAGGGAGAAGGGATGTCTCGGCACCGCCTACGAGGCATTTTGTGACTTTCAATTTGGGGGAGAACATGCACAAGGGGGTTATTTTTGAAAAGTCTTGCAAAAATCCTGGCTACATCTGTCTCTCTAGGAGGACGTGGCCCCGTGGGTTTTTCCTCGGGCTGTGCCCCCTCCCTTCCCCAGCGAAGAAGAGACGCGCTTCCCAGCGAGGCATCACGACCTCCGCAGAGGGCAGGGTTTTGGGGGAGAAGGTTTCTCTCCAGGAGGGGTGGCCACATCAGGACCACCCATCCCTAGACCGTCCGACGTCACAGTGCGTGTTTCCCCCAAAATACCCAGCCAGCCCTTTCTAAACCAACGGGTCACAGGCACTTGAGATTACTTTCTTCTTGTCTCGCAATTAATGCATTTTTTATAAAGCCCAGGCTCCAGTTTCCTTTCATGTTACCAGGAGGATATCCTTTTTCGTCTTAAGCTTCAGAAGGATTTTTTTCACCCAAAGGATTAATCTCCAGTGTCCTGTACACGGGACAGAGGGACGCGCCGGCCGAACGGCCTGGTGAGGATGCTGGAGCTCGGCTGGAGCCCATGCGCGGGGGCTGCAACGGCGCTCGCTCCATCCCGAAGCAGGCGAAACTGCAGCCTTGCAGCAGTACTTGCTGGTGGCTTTGCAGCGCTGGTTAGGTTTAGTGCCTTGCAGATCCCGGTGCACAGCAACATTTCTTACTCCTAATTGTATCTTAAAGATGAGCATGCAACTTAACATCACAAATAATGGCGTATTAACCTGCCCCCTGTTTAACAAAACCAAGCCAAACAGAGCCACACTTTCGGGGATGACTTGCAGTGCAGAGCAGATGAGTGAAAATGTTGTTTAGTGAAGGATGGATTTGTTCCATCAAGCTGGAAGATCCCTAATTGTGTCAGTGATGAGTTGCATTCAGATCTGAAGCCAATTTGTGGGCATGTGGAGGGCGCTGGCAATTGCTGCTGACCATGGCAGGCTGAAGGAGTGGGCCCGTGTGAACCTCATGAGGTTCAACAAGGCCAAGTGCAAGGTCCTGCACCTGGGTCGGGGCAATCCCCGATATCAGTACAGGCTGGGGGATGAAGGGATTGAGAGCAGGCCCGCCGCGAACACCTTTGGGGGGCACGG